AAAACTATCAAGGCAATCAAAAACAAAGAAAGTTTGAGAAATTTTCAGTCTTAAGAAGCCTAAGGAGACATAACACTTAAATATAATGCGATATTTTGGATTGGGTCCTGGCACAGAATAGAGATATTAGGTAAAAACTAGGGAAATACAAGTAAAGTATGGATTTTAGTTGGTAATAATATACCAATATTGGTTCATAGTTGTGACAAATGTAAAAATGTTAATGGTAGGGGAAACTGGGTATACAAGAATTCTCTATACTATTTATGCAACTCCTCTGTAAACAGAATAATTCTAAAACAAAATGTTTATTTTTATTTTTTTATTTTTTTAATTTTTATTTATTTCTAGGAGAGAGAGAGAGACAGTGTGAGCAGGGGAGGGTCAGAGAGAGAGGGAGCCACAGACTGAAACAGGCTCCAGGCTCCGAGCTGGCTGTCAGCACGGAGCCTGACGCGGGGCTCGAACCCACGAACCGTGAGATCATGACCTAAGCGAAAGTCGGACGCTTAACCGACTAAACCACCCAGGCGCCCCAAAATGTTTATTTTTAAAAAGTATATCTGGGGTTACCTGGGTGGCTCAGTCGGTTGAGCGTCTGGCTTTGGGGCTCAGGTCATGATCTCACGGTCAGTGGGTTTGGGCCCACGTTGGGCTCTGTGCTGACAACTTAGAGCCTGGAGCCTGCTTCAGATTCTGCATCTCCCTCTCTCTCTGCCTCTCCCCTGCTTATGCTCTGTCTGTCTCTCTCTCTTGCAAAAATAAATAAACATTAAAAATGTTTTTAAAATAAAAAAATAAAAAGTATATCTGATAGAGGTTGGGGGATAAAGAAGGGAAAGAAGTGAAAGGAAGGATGGGGTGCTAGTAAATGATGGTAAGATAAAACCTTATCTTTCTTAATCTTTCTGAAGGACAACTTTAAAGTTACAATAGCAACAATGTATTTAATGCTTATTGCATATGGATAAATGAAGTGAATGACAGCAATGTCACAAAGGGTGGGAGGGAGAAATACTGGGAATACTGTTTTTAAGGTAACTATACTGCGCATGAAGCAGGAATGGCATCATTTGAAGGTGGATTTAGTTTAGTTAAAAATATATATTGTTGGGGCGCCTGGGTGGCTTAGTCGGCTAAGCGTCCGACTTTCACTTAGGTCATGATCTCGCGGTTCGTGGGTTCGAGCCCCGCGTCGGGCTCTGTGCTGACTGACAGCTCAGAACCTGGAGCCTGTTTCAGAGTCTGTGACTCCCTCTCTCTCTGACCCTCCCCTGCTCACACTGTCTCTCTCTCTCCCCTAGAAATAAATAAATATATATATATATATATATATATATATAGTTAACTCTAAGATAACCATTTAAAAGATTTTAAAGAAGAATTTTTTATTGGTGTGCTAAGAAAGGAGATAAAATGGAATTATACAAATTGCTCATTTAAAACCAGAGAATGCAGAAGGAAGAAGCACTTGGCAATGAATAAAATGCAATTGCAAACATAGCTGATATTAATCCAAATATATAAATAATCACTCTAAATGTGATTAATAAGCTTATGATTAATGATAATAAATATGATTGGCTTAATAAGCCAATCAAATGACAGAGATCGTCATAGTGGATTTTTTTTTTAAAGGACAACTACATGTTGTCTACAAAAGCCCATTTTATTTATGTATTTATTTTATTATAGTTTATTGTCAAGTTGGTTTCCATATAACACCCAGTGCTCATCCCAATAAGTGCCCTCCTCCATGCCCATCACCCATTTTCCCCTCTCCCCCACCCCCATCGACCCACAGTTTGTTCTCTGTATTTAGAAGTCTCTTATAAAAGCCCATTTTAAATATAGACACCAACAGGTTAAAAGTAAAGGAATGGAGAAAGTCATTCCATGCCAATACTGATCAAAAGAAAGCTGGAGTAACTATATTAATTTCAGACAAAGAGGACTTTAGAACAAAGAAAATTATCACTAATAAAGTGGGCACTACATAATGAAAAGGAGTCAATTCTCAAAAAAAAACTGAGTATGCATCTAAAAAACAGTGTCAAAATACACAAAGCAAAAACAGAACAAAACGGAGAAAAAGATGAACCCACAATTACTGTTGGAGACTTCACAACCCTCTGTCACTAACTGATACATCCAGCATGCCAAAAGTCAATAAAGATATAGTTGACTGGAAGAGCACTATCAATCAACTTGATCTGATTGTTATTTATAGAATACTTCATCCAACCACAAAATACACATTCTTCTCAAGTTCACCTGAAACATTGACCAAGATAGATCATAAAACACACCTTAGCAAATTTAAAAGAACAGAAATCACACAAAGCACGTCATTTTAAATTAGTAGTATTAGCTAGTTCAGGGGTACCTGGGTGGCTCAGTCAGTTAAAGCGTCCGACTTTGGCTCAGGTCACGATCTCATGGCTCAAGAGTTTGAGCCCCACATCGGGCTCTCTGCTGACAGCCCAGAGCCTGCTTCAGATTCTGTGTCTCCCTCTGTCTCTGCTCCTCCCCTGCTCATGCTATGTCTCTCTCAGTCTCTCAAAAAGAAATAAATGTTAAAAAAATTTTAAATAGTTTTAGTTATTTGAACGTTAATGGCCCTAGAATGAAGAAAATTGATCTTTTTCCTATTATATTTTAATGGACACATTCTTTAAAGAATATCTATTTTCCTTCACTTTTTTTTAGTTTTTTATTTTATTCTATTGCAGTTAACATACAGTGTTATATTAGTTTCAAGTGCACAAATAGTGATTATTTCCCTTTACTTTTATTATTTACTCAACAATACACTTTCTGATATGCTCTGCCTGGGTAATGCCTATGCAGTACTCCTTCCAAACTTAAAAGTTAAAAACTTTAATATAGTATGACAAAAGCATAAATAAAGTTAATAATTGAAAAAATCTATAGAAAATAATAAAATATTTATGACAGAAAAAATTAATGTCCTTCATATACAAAGATATTTTATAAATCAATAAGAAAAAATGAGCAAACTTATTCTTGGCTCTTAGCCCACACAACAACCAGAATAGTATCTTTAAATCACAAATCTCACCATATCACTCCCCTACTTAAAGTTCTTCAATGGCTTCATATCATTCTTAAAATAGAGTCCAAAACCCTTAACGTAGCCCACATGGTCTGGTCCTTACTTACCTCTCTAGACATTTCATTCTTCTCCCCACCTTCTCCGGCTCCAGTCAACCTGGTCTTTTTCAGCTCCTTGAACTATGTCTTTTTTGTGCATGCTAACCTCTTTTCCTAGAGTCACACTACCACTCATTTCGTCTGACTGATGCCCACTTTTTCTTCAGATCTAGCTTAAATATCATTTCTCGGGGAAGTCTTGTCAGCAACTCCAGATCATTTTGGATCCTCTGTTATATGTGCTATCCATAACTCTTGAGCAAACAGATGAAATCATGTTTCTGAATCCTCAGAGCTCAGAACTAGACCCTGAGAAGGGTAAACTTTCCCAGGAATGTGAGGCTCAGGGCAAAACAACCACTGGCTTCTGGAACTTTCTTATCTACAACAGTCATGGATGGTGAGGAAGCCCAAGAGAAAGTTATAATGAGACCTTCTCCAAGCTATTAGTCCTTAAGTTTTTTGAATAGACAACTTTGGGAACATAATGAGATCTTTGGGACTTCCACCCAGAAGAATGCATATAAGCAAAACTTTTGATAATGATAATGTTTTCAAAGGTTCACAATTCCCTAAAGTCTATCTATTCACCTCAGGTTAAGAACCCCAATAATAAGCCTAATGAGAATCTCACACACACAAACACACCGGTTCCCTGGATTTGTTCATTCAATCACTACTCATTGAGTATCTACAGACTCCAGTAATAATAACACTTTATAAATGAAATTTGATTTATGGTTTAAAAGAAAAGAAAAATCCTCATGTACATTTTCTCATTTACTCTTTACAAAATAAAAAAAGAAACCCAATAGTAAGATAGGCACACAATTTCCATACCTATTTTATGGAATATGATTGATTATGAGAAAACATAATCCCAAAGAACGTTACTTGGCTAAGGCCATTAGCCAAAAAGAAGCTGAAATCCCAGAGTAAAAGACACCCCTTTAACGTTAGACCTGGTCCTCTCCCTCCATATTGACCAATGGCAGTGAAAATAGGACTTGTGCCTAGTGATAGCCTCCTGCTGAACACCAGCGTCATCGTATGAGGATAACCCCCAAAGCCAAATTCTCAGCCCCCAGTTCCCATGGTGGCCAGTCCCATGCTCTCCTCTTCCAGATAGTGATGTAACTGCAAATAAAAGGTCCCAACAGAAGGCCTCCCCTGGTGTTTACATGAGGTAGCCAGAGGTTCCCATAATAGAATAGAGCATAATAGTTAACATTCTTTGTGTTCTTAATATATGTCAGGCACCATGTTAGGCTATTTACATGAATTAACTTACTAAATCCTCAGAACAACACCAGAGGGTAGGTACTATTATTATCTCTATTTTGTGAACACTTAGACAAGGTTAAGTAACTTGCCCAAGGTTATGCAACTAATAATTTTCAGAGCCCAGATTTGAACTCTGGAGCCTGTACTCTTAAATAAACCACCATTCTGCCTCTCCTGAGCCAGTCGTTCCTACCTTTTGTGGGTCACGTGCACTCTAGAGAGTGTAATGAAAGCTCTGGACCCTCTCTCTGGGAAAATGCGGGTAAGCAGAATTTTGCAAAATAATTGAGGACCTCAAGGACTTTCAAGGCCCATCATCTATGAACCTGAATAATACTGAAGGGAGCTGTCCAGGGACCAAAACAGAAGCTGCGCCAGCACCGCAGGACTTCGCCCCTGCAAAGACGGGAGGAGAGCTGCGCTGCGTGGTATGACAGGGATGCTCGTTCACGGAGAGTCAGGAAGAGTGAGCTCCTGGGACCGCAATGCCCTGGGAACGCAGCCAGACGCTGAGCCTCCGAAGTCCGGTAGCTGAACCAGATACGCACGGACCACCACCTAGACTGAAATCTTGCATCTCTGCCAGCACCTTGGAGTCACAAGACAGGGGATTCTGAGCGGACGGGATCTCAGAACTCCGGTCCCGGGCGCGGGAGGACCGTGTCGCTGTTCCTGGTGCTGAAACGCCTCAGCCTGCCCGCCCACCCCCCACCGCGTCCCGGGTACCGCGCCGCAACCTCCTCGAGACCTGTCCAGTGCTGAACCCGGATGCGGCCGGGCCCGCGGGGCTAGACCCGAGCCTGCCGCACCCAGCGGAGCCTGGACCGAGCTCCCGGGAGCGCTGACGCAGAACGCTGGAGGGCGAGAAGCCGGGCATGGACCAGCAGAGAACGGACTCCTACCAGTGGGGAGCTAGCTTCAATGAGCACGTCCTGCATAAGGTAAGAATTTCCTGCAGTCCCCTGCCCCCATCCCAACGCTGGGAGAGGGCGCCGTCAATGAGTTCGCTCCACTCCCCTGACTTGGCTTTGGGACTTAAGAGAAACCAGTCCATATCTGTGAGCCCGGGGGCCCTTTCTGTTCCATCCCGTTTGCTGCTCAAAACAGGTTTGCGTAAACACTGGGGGAGGGGCCGACGCCAGAGGCTCAGATTGTCAGGATCTCCGTTTATTCATTTAAGTCACCTGTGTCCCTTTCTCATTCACTGCTTCCTGCCTCTGATCCATTTGAACTCCTGTGTACCCTGAGCACCCTTGCCCGACCGTGACCCTTCTGGTTGGCTGTTTGTCCTCGCACCCTTGCTTCACAAGCTCCGGTCCTGTCAGGTCTGGGAGTTGTGGTCAAAGACCTGAATTCCTGGCCAACTTGGGTGACATTAGACATAGAAATGATCTACAGCAGAAACTGTTATTTTCAAATTAGACTCTCTCTTGGCTCTAGAAACCTGCCCTCCAGTCACAACTAGCTCTCAGCCCGGTGGAAAGCATTTGCTTATTTCTTTTTTTTTTTCTTAAATTTTTTAAAATGTTTTATTTATTTTTGAGAGAGAGAGAGAGAGAGACAGCATGAGCAGGGGAGGGTCAGAGAGAGAGGGAAACACAGAATCTGAAGACAGTCTCCAGGAGCTGAGCTAGCTGTCAGCACAGAGCCCAACACGGGGCTCGAACCCATGAACTGTGAGATCATGACCTGAGCTGAACTCAGACGCTTAACTGACTGAGCCACCCAGGTGCCCAGCATTTGCTTATTTCAAAGCTGTAACTCATCCCTTGTTTTCCTCATTCAAATTTCTTATGCAGCTCAGTCCTCAGTAATGTAGATTTCCTCTTGAAGTGATTGCTGGGGAAAAGTAGCCTCTCTCTAGGCAAGTCTTTTAACCCAACATCCATCACCTTGAAAGAATCACAGCCTATATTTGCCATAAGAAGTCATCATTGCCTCATCCCTTCCTCTGCCCTCCTCATTAAGCCCTTATATTTCCTACTTTGCTAATACCCTGAAAAGCTGTTGGTCCTGTACTCAGATATTATTTAAATCAAAATATCACTCCATGAATGCGGGGCACCCGGCTGGCTCAGTCAGGAGAGCATATGACTCTTGATCTAGAGGTCATGAGTTCGAGCTCTACATTGGGTGTAGAGATTACTTAAATAAATAAATAAATTTTAAATAAACAATGAAAATTCCATGAATGCCAGCTCTGAAATAATCTGATCCACTTTTTCCCCCTGTTACACAGTTTATATTTGAGGAAACTAAAGTCCAGAAGGTAGAGTGACTTGTCCAAGAAAACAAGGTAATAAATGGCAGAGCTCTACTAAAAGCCAGGAACTATGACTCCAACTCTAATACCTTTTTCTCCGTACACATGTGGTCCACAGGCCAGCAGCACTGGCCTTACTTGGGAGCTTGTTAAAAATGGGAAATCTCGGGCCCCACCCAAGACCTACTATTTGAATTTGTATTTTAAAACGATCCTTAGAAAATAAATATGCACATTAAAGTTCCATATGAATGGGCCTACATCACACTGGCTAATTCTTTTTTTTTTTTAATGTTTATTTATTCTTGAGAGAGAAGGACAGAGTGTGAGCAGGGGAGGGACAGAGAGAGAGAGAGAGAGAGAGGGAGACACAGAATCTGAAGCAGGCCCCAGACTCTGAGCTGTCAGAGCAGAGCCTGATGGCAGGGCTTGAACTCACAAACTGCTAAATCATGACCTGAGCCAAAGTCAGACATTTAACCAACTGAGCCACCCAGGTGCCCCCACACTGGCAATTTCTGACACAAGTGAAGGAAAATCAGCTAACAGAAGTTCATCTGTAAATTTGAATAGTCCACATAACTTCTCCCTCCAGGTCCTGAACCCCTAAAGGTATAGAGAAAGAGAGAAATTTATAACAACTACCCCAGCCAGGAAGTTTTAAAACAGTTACAGCTTGAAGTAAACTAGAGTAAGATATAATTCTTTGAAGTTGTGAATTTAGCCCCAGGAGAAAGTGCATTCAAGCAAAGGAACATAATTACAAATCAATTATGATAGTATCTTGGTAATTAGATATGAGTCTCTCCATGTTTAAACCATCTTGTAAAGATGTAAATATTCATGTTGGTGCTTTAAGATTTGGAAGTCAAAGTTTTCAAATTATTGATTAGTGTGACTTTTCCCACCTCAATGACCTACATATGAAATATAGGATGTAGCCCACAAGAACTTCACTTCCTTTACCACCAAATTGAGAGAGAGCCTGTTCTGACAACTTCCAATATATATATATATTTTTACAAATAGTTTATTGTCAAATTAGTTTCCACATAACACTCAGTGCTCATCCCCAAAGTGCCCTCCTCCATGCCCCTCCCCCCCTCCCCCCCACATCCATCAGTCCTCAGTTTTTGTCAGCATTCAAGAGTCTCTCATGGTTTGCCTCTCTCCCTTTCCCCCACCATTTCCCCCCTTCGTCTCCCCCTTGGTCCTCCGTCAAGTTCCTCCTAATCCTCCTATACGTGCAAACATATGATATTTGTCCTTCTCTGCCTGACTTATTTCGCTCAGCATAACACCCTCAAGGTCCATCCATGTTGCTACACATGGCCAGATTTCATTCTTTCTCATTGCCACAACTTCCAATATATTTGAAAACAAGTGTCTACATACTACTGGTGAATGCTTGATTTCTTCAGCTTGATTGGGAGCATCTTGAGAGCAGAAGCTGCACTCAAACCTTCCAGTACCCGACAGCGTAGCATGTGTATAGAAAGTTTTCCTTTTCATATAATGCTGATCCTCTCCCCTTAATATGATTTTATTATTATGAATGACTTTTTAATATGATTCACCTAAGAACCTTTATGTAAAGGGGCAGGGAATAAACATATTTGTATTACGCTTAGGTTTGCTATATAATAGAGTCCAAGAAATTCTTGTTGATTCATTAGAACATATCGGCTATAGGAAGCAAGGTTCCCCTCCAACATTAGCTGCCAGAAAGAATCATTTTTAAGATCAAGTTTTTATTGAAGTATAAGGAACACAAAAAAACCTCAAATCATATGTGTACACCCTGATGGATTATAACAAAGTGAGCACCTCTGTGCAACCACTACCAAAATAAACAGAACCTTGCCAGCTTCCCAGGAATCCCACACATACACCCTTCCACATACTCTCCCCTTGTCTCCCCAGAGGTTACCTTTATAGAGGGGAGAGTATCATTTAATGTTTTGACAGTACTGCCAGATTTCATGTAGTATAGTTTTTAAAACTTGCTAGAGAAGAGACACTGCTGTATGATGGCTAGAAACCTCGGACTTGGAATCAGACAGACCTTGATATGACTTTGAATGATATCTGTGAGCCTCACTTTTCTTATCTATAAAATGGGAATAATAATACTTGGCTTATTGTCTTTTGAGGGAAGGTGTTAAATATAATGTAAATATGTAGATGTAAACATGTATTTCTCTGGCATATAGGAAGCATTTAATAAATTGTGGTTGTCTTTAGGGCATGTATCTTGGGCTCCAGACCAACTTCAATAGGTGTCACAGGGAGTGTCACCTAAAATAATGAATCTTTGTGAGAAAAGCAGCAGTTCTGTAAACAGAAACACATACTCACACACACACACATACACACACACACACACACACACACACACACATTCTTCATAGGCACAATCCCATGGGACTAAACTCACACACCCATCTCACTCACTCATTAAGACTTTCATGTGAACATCCCAACCCTGATTTTCTAAGATGAATATTTCCTTTCCTTTCTCTGGGAGGTGAAAAATGGGACACAATAAAACCTCTCATTAAAATTCACTTATATGGAAAACATAGGCCAAATATCATCAGCCTTGGATGGTACTTGCACTTTAGCTAGTCCCAAGAGTTAGAGGGTGGCCCAGATGAGCCTGAGTAACTCTTAGACTATTCCTGGAGTGTGGGCTGGAAGCTGGGAACTGCTTGGAAACATTGAGTTCGTCCATCACATGTTTGGAGTTTTTAAATAGAGTTGCCATTGTTCTCACAAATCTGAATATTTGATGCAACTAAATAATTTAAAACATGTGAACAACCTTGCTTTTCTTTCACTGAGAAACCAAGCCCTCTCTTGCTACCAGTATAGTCTTGAGAGCCAGCAAGGGCAATGGTGAGGCTTAGAAGCTTAGCAGCAGCCCACAGATTGAATTCTTGCTGGGCCCGGGCCTGACCATGAAAACTAGGAAGATGAAGCACAGAGCTTTGCCCCAGATGCTAGTGAATCAAGGCAAAGAGACTTACTTCCTAATTCACCACCGCCAGCACTCTGATGCACACCCACATGTAATCTTGTTCCAGGAGGAGCAAACAAGTCACTGTCCTCTGTACCATCTCAGAAAGACCATTGACCCAGGGGTAGAAAGATGTGGAATGTTCATCCATTCATTCAGGGCTTAGTTTTTGTTGGAAGAAAAAAAAGGTGGAATTATCAGGGAGATAAGGACAAAAGGTCTCTGTCCTACAAGGGATTCCCATTCTCTTTGACTCTGCTCTAATGCTTCTTTTAGCTGAGTGAGAAAGCCAAGAGGTCATGTCCAGTACCCCCCTCCTCACTTGCACTTTTCCTTCATCTTCCTTGTCTACTGTTCATCCTGTAATTTCCACACCCTTTATCTTTATCCTTCTTTTATTTTTCAATTAAACAATGTTAATGGAACACAAATTTGTGGTAAAAGAATCCAATTCCACAGGAAAACCTATACCCATAAGTGAGGAGATTTCACTTTCAAAATGAGTCCACCGTACCTCAGTAGGGTAGTGTTGATAGTGGCGGGGGTGGGGGGAGTCTTTAAAGAAAAAAATATGTAAAACCAAAGCCAGAGTGCTAGCTCCAATGCTGCCAGATTTCCATCCTCAGCTCAGGAACAAATAAAAAAGCCAGGAAAAGTTA